ACTCCTTCAGCACAGGGCCTGCCTTTTGCCCTTTTTTTTTTTTTTTTTAATATTTCCAGTGCTTAGCATATGGTACACACATCATAAATGTTTATTGACTGACTGACCTGACTTGCAAATCTCAACCTAATAACCATAAATGAAAAAAGGATAGATATTCCAAAAAAAGCTAGAAAACAACAACAAAAAAACAAACAGATTTTGAAGCATTCCTGCATAGAAAATCACACCTTAACAGGCAGCTCAGAAACAGAAATACATGAAAGCTAAACAACTACAGCAATCCAGAAAGACACATAAATAACAAATTACCCTCAGAAAACAAAAGGAAAAAAAATCTAAAAAAAGGAAGAAACCTATAGGTTAAACAACAACAAGAAAACAACAACAGAAAAGCTCTAAGATATCTTTCTGAAAGTATGGAAAGAGACAAGACAGAAGTGATGATAGAAAAACAAGCCTATCATGAACTAAATCTCTCAACACCTCATTTATAGGTAAATCACCTAAATTGTAGAATCAGTGGATACATAAAAGTAGAGAGAAGAAGAGTAAGAAAAAAAATGAAATGTGTGATACACTATAATCAAGTAAAATGTTTACCACGAAGAGAAAATAACTCATTAATTTCTCAGGAAGAAGAGGGCATACAGGTGAACCTTATAGTGACTATAGTTTTCAGGTATTTGGTTTTTAGAGAGACTTTGTTTCCTGCCTGAGCAGAAAGCAAATTAATACTTCTAGGTGCAGCTGTCACCTAGAAGAATGGGAAGGAATGGGCCTAAATTGATTAAATAATCAAATAAAAGGAAAAAGTGACTTTGGATTTGAAAACAAAACCCCACAATCTTTTGTTTAGAAGAAACACACCTAAAAAAACAAAGACATACACAGAATAAAAATGAGATGTTGGAACAAAATTTACTGTGCATCAAAGTAAGTGTAAATAGAAATTATTTCTATTCTGGCCAGAAACTATGAGGGTCTTTCCCTCTGACTACCCTCCCCTCCCAGTTGATTCTTTTGTGAAGGCAAACTAGGCCATTCTTTGCCTCCATTCTTACCTAGCATTTAATCACTGAATGGATGTTGCCCAAGACAAACAGACCTGAGAAACACATTAGCTTAAAAGGCCAACGTCCTCCACCGCATCTGAGGCCATCTCCAGTCGTCCTGACCTATGTCCTGCCACTGGACTCTGATGACTCTGGAAGAGAGAGTGAGGCTGATCACTTTGCACAGCCCTGCCTCATTTAAATCTAATTCACTTGGAAGTCAAGATATCACCCTCCCAGTGTCATTGGTCTTCTTCAAGAACTACCAACAGCAACATCAACCACATATCCCAGTGACATAAAAAAGGGAGGTAGGAATATCTATTTGTACAAAAAATATTTATAACAGCCCTTTTGGTGGTGGCTTAAGAATTGGAAATCGATGGGATACCCATATATTGGGGAATGGCTAAACAAGCTGTGGTATATGATTGTTATGATTTGTGCTATAAGAAATGACAAACAGGATGATTTCAGAAAAACCTAGAAAAACTTACATGAACTTATACAAAGTGAAGGGAGCAGAACCAAAATAATTGTTGCACAGTGACAGCAATATTGTACAGTGATTGACAGCTATTCTCAGCAATGCAGTTATCCAAGACAATCTCAAGGACTAATGATGATGCATACTATCCACCTCCAGAGAAAGAACTGATATTGTCTAAATAGAGACTGAAGCGTGCTATTTTCACTTCCTTTCTTTCATTTTTTTATTTGACTCTTTTTGTACAAAATAATTAATATTGAAATGTTTTATATATATGTATATGCACATGTATAACCTGTAGCTAATTGCTTACCATCTCAGGGAGGGAGGAGGGGAAGGAGGAAAGGAGTAATAGAATTTGGAACTCAGAACTTAAAAATAAAAATCAAATGTTAAAAAATTGTTTTTAACATGTAATTGGGGGAAAAAATAAAATATATATTAATAAAAAAAAGTGTAAGCTTATCCTGGGAGAGAGCAGCAGATGCATAGTGGGGTGATATATAGGATGAATATGATGCACATAGAAAGGCATAAGATTTATATAAATTGGTACAAGATAAAGTAAGCAGAACCAGAAAGATAGTGTTTATATAATAATACTATATTTATATGATTTATATATAATTATAATATATATAACATTTATTTATAATAATTTATATCATAATTATTGTAGCAGTGGACATGGAAAGAACAGCCAAACGAAAAGCTTAAATTGGTGAAATTATAATGACCAATCTTTGCTCAAAGAAAATGATGAGAAGGTGCATACCGCACTTTGTGGAATACTGCAAAAAGACTTTTTCAGTGTGTTGGTTAGTTTTGCTTAACTGTATTTTATTCCTTTTTTATTCTTTGTAATTAAGGATGGCTTTCTTTGAGGGGCCTAGGGAGAGATATCTAGGGAAATGTAGATAATATATAAAAACAAAATATATCAATAAAATGTATTTTAAAAAATAAAGTCTAATGTATCATGAGATCACCATTTTCCCCCCGTTCTTAACTATTCTTCTCTGTTTTATTCAATGTTTAACTATTTCTATGTCAGTTCTGTTCCTTATGTCAGTGTTTGTAAATAAAAATTATTCTGATCAGCAACGTTATCTTCTGATGCTGACAGGCACACAAGTAATGTTGACAGTTGTATTGTTAAGAGCAGTTGAAATACTTAATAGCACAGTAGAAATATTGTTCCTAAAACTTCCTTTATGTTAGGTAAGTATCTCTTGACTAATAATGCACTTATTATAAATGAATGTATCTCAGTATGCTCATCTTAGTTATATGCTACTTTACATAGTTTAAATTTTTTGTAGTCTTAGAAAAGTACCCGATCTAAGATCAGGTTATTCATATATTTTTAAGTATTCATAACTGAGTGGTACCATTTTTTTTCAGTTTCAATCAGGAGATCACAGTTAAAATTATTGATGTGTCTTGGCCATATTATTAATATGTGATATGATATTAATTTTAATGACACAGTATTACTATAATATACAGTGTATATTATATATACTATATTATAATATACAAAAATAATGATACTATATTAATATTACTATGGTGATATTATAGAACTCATCAGTATCCTCTGGGTATTAAATGGAAATTTAAATCATTACGATGCTAGATATTACTATGTACTTATTTTATTATCATGAGTGAAGCTAGTTTTTTTTTTTAAGAGCTTTAGACTGTTGTATTTAATTTTCTATATGTTCTGTCAACAAGTTCCTTGACTATTTTGCAGTTTTCCCACAGCTATTGCCTTTAGCTGTGTGCATGGATTTACATACTCGTCATGGAGCTATTCTCGCCTGTGCTGAGATCACCTATGCCCTGTACAAACTAGCAGCTGCGAAAAATAGGTATAAAGGCATTTATATACAAATTTTTTTCATTTATAATCTTTGTTAAACCTCCTTATGCAATTATTTATGACTTTTGTTTGGTCCGTATCTCATCCATTTTAATTTTAGTTCTTTTGCTCCAGCATTGCAAAGTCTTCAATTTCCTACATTTTACCTAGTAAGGCTAGTATCTCTCTTGGTAAGTCATGTACTATTTATGGAACTACTTGTCCCATCACAGCTGAAACACAAAAGTTTCTATTAAATAAATAGACTAACCATTATATATTCAATGATGCTTATTTATCTGAAATACATGAATATTTCCAGTGTCCCCAGCAGTTGCCAAAATCCAATATATGATCATTTGTTATCTGATACAAGTTATATACTCAAGCTCAACTCAGTTATCCAGGGATTAATAATGAGTAGTTTGAATGTTTTTTTAAAAGCCTCTTATGTTCTTGATAATAACTTTGTGATTTTTGGCATTAGGTAATTAGGTTTCATAACTTTTAGAGAATGTAAAAGTTCAGAAGAAAAGCAAGGGAAAGAAAAGAGGAGTGGAAACTATACAAATAAGTGAGTTGAGGGGAGCTATGTACACATACAGGCATGTAACAGATTGGGCTTTTTAAGGAATTATTTTCAGAATATGCATAGCTGCCAGAAAGAGTTGCTCATATTATACAGCAGCCTAGTAGTCAGTGACATACTGTACTCTTTCCAGTTTTGATTTGGTGTTCCTCAGTTTTCCTATCACTTTTAGGATTTTGCTGTTGGCTTCACCTCTACTCCTATCTACTACATTCACTGTATTCATCTTAGCCTGCCAACTTCATTTCTGGTCCATGCTAATTCTTCTTATGCGAGAACTGTTGTCATACACCAGTCAACCACCATGTGTTGACTCTTGGTTGCTTCTCTCCAACTCTGATGCTATTATCTAACAGTCTCCTCAGTTATATTTTGTCTGTGTTGGCTTCAGTTGTAACTCCTTTTTAGTTAATCCCAATTGGTTAGACTGATAAATTTACTGCAGGGAAAACTTAAAGGTCAGGGTGATCTGGCTACATGTTAGTTCTCTTGTTTAAATGTCTCTTACATTAAGTGCCTACTATGTTAATAGCATTAAAATTTCAACAATTAGAGATGAATGAAGTTAATAAATTTCACTTGAAAATAAAATACTACCATCTGGAAATATTAAGGGCTTTGCTTCATTCACATAGAAGTGGGATGACATTCTCTAGTTGAGATTGCCTTAATAGAATAGAACGTTTAATTGAGGGGAGTATGTGGAGAAGAGAACAAAGTTTTGAGCATGAAATGCTTTGGGGAATAGAGCAGACCTAGGTGTGGTGGTATGTGTTGAAGTTATCAATAACCAGTGTTTAGTAAACCCTATATTATGTGCCTAGCATTGTGCTAAGTATTTGAGGATATGAAGACAAAAATGAAACTGTCCTTATTTTCAAGGAACTTAATTCAATTTTTGGGAAGCACAAAATGTTTCAGTGTGTAACATTCAGTATCTTCCAGGCATGGAGGATATATTTATTCATTAATACCAATTCATCCAATATAATGTAAGCTCTTTGCAGACCAAGAATCTTTCATTTTTATCTTTACATCCCCAGTGTTTAGGAGTACTGTGCTTGGTAAATGGTATCATGTAGTAAATGCTTACTGATTGACCATTAGCCTTAAATATAGTTACAAACCTAGACCTTCTTTATTTTCCAAATTGCCTCATGTTCAAAAATGTTCTTTTTCTCTTTTTGTCTTCCACTCAGTTGAAATTCCATTTCTATATATTTATAGGTGTTTAGATAAGTATATATGTCATGCATCAAGGCAGCTAAAAAGCTCAGTGAATAGAGCACTGGGTCTGGAGTCAGTTCAGATGTAGCCTGAACACTTACTAATAACTGTGTGACATTGGAAAAGTCACTTACCTTCTGCCTTAATCCACTGGAGAAGGAAATGGCAAACCACGATAGTATCTTTGCCAAGAAAACTCCAATGATAGTATTGATGTGCTCTGCTTCACGTGGTCACAAAGAGTCAGACGTGGTCAAACAACTTAATAACAACAAAATATTTTGTGTGTTGTAGGAAGGCAGTAAATAACTTGACATGTGGAATATTTACAAGAAGTTAGGTTAGAACAGAAAGGGAAATAAGAGGGTATCAAAGATAAACTACCTCTTTCTAAATCTTGCTTAGAGTTGTCCCTAAAAGCTTTTAAGGCAATTCTTGTCTTTCTCTTTAACTCATGATTTCCATGCTTTCAGGGGAGAGAACTCAGGCTGACAATATTAGTACCATAATTCAGTTATGTTATAGCCTTTTTTGGGTATGTCAGCTAATCTAACAATCATTTATGGCCTTTTCTAAGGGAAAAAATACCTTCCAGTTTCAAACAATTGACTTGGGAAATTTTATAGCATAATCATAGTATTGTTAATTCACATTTATATAATGCTTTCAAGGGTTTACAAAGTATTTTTCTCATGTAATCCTGAGAGGTAGATAACATTATTATTTCTATTTTATAATTGTGAAAACTAAGATTCATGGAGGATGATAATTGCCTAAGGTCACATAACTAATTATCAGTTATGATTTTACCTGAACTCCAAGTCAGAGAGTCTTTGAAAAAAAAATTTTTTTTGATAAAAATTAGAAAATCAGCAACATGAACATAAAGGGGTTCAATTGTAATTCTACTACATATAGCTTGTTTCTTTTGCTATACATTACATTTAAAGTAATAAAACTAACATTGCCCTGCTTCTGTTTTCCTCTATATTTTTTAAAGGGCAGCTAGGTGAGGCAGTGGATTGAACGCTGGGCCTGCTATCAGGAAGATCTGAGTTCAAATCTGGCCTCAGATACTAGCTGTGTGTGACCCTAGACAAGTCACTTAACCCTGTTTGCCTCAATTTCCTCATTTGTAAAATCAGCTGGAGAAGGAAATGGCAAACCACTCCAGTATCTTTGCGAAGAAAACCCCAAATGAGGTCATAAAAAGTTGGATAGTATTGAAACTACCAAACAACAAAAATTTTAAAGGTTTATTGACTCTCTTTTGTTCTCTCTCTCTCTCTCTCTCTTTCTCTCTTGAGTATCATCCCTTTCCTTTTCTACTGTCCACCCAAGCTCTCCCTGTCCTTCCACCCCCCAAAAGCCCTTCATTCCCTGACACAAAAATATAATCAAGCAAAATAAATTTGTGCTATATAGGTGAGTCTGAGAATATATACCTCAGTCCTTCATCTCTTCAGAAGAGGTGGATAAGGTATATTTTATTATAGGTCTCCTGTTTGTGTGATTGTTCTTTTGACTGATAATAATAACAATAACTAGCATTTATATGGCATCTTAAGGTTTGCAAAGCATTTTATAAATATTATCTCATTCAGTCCTCACAACAACCCTGTAAGGTAAGTGATATAATTATTCCCATTTTAGAGATGAAAAATTAAGGCTAAGAGAGGTTAAGTGACTTGCCCAGGACCTAGTAAGTGTCTGAGACAGTAATGAACTGAGCTTTTCCTAACTCTGAAAACAGAACACTATTTTAATCACTATGCCACCTAGCTCCTCTGATCTTAAGATTCCAATTCTTAAGTCTTAACCAATTTTTTTCTTTACAATATAATTGTTGTATAAATAGTTCTCCATGTTCTGCTTGCTCCCTTTGCTCTATAACAGTTCCTTATGAGGCTTCTTAGGTTTCTATAAATTAAAGTCTCCAATTATTATATTTTCCTGTCTTTTTAAGTGCATAAAATAAAATAGATAGGCTTACAAAGTTGAAATAAATTTATCAAAATGTTTTTTAAAACTAAGTACCCCCGTGTTAAGGGGTTTTCCTTCAAATATCTATCTTGGTACTATGTCATTTGTTGCATATATATTAAGAATTTTTATTATATAATTGTCCGTGGTTCCTTTAAGCATAATGTAATTTTCTTGCTTATCTTTTTTAAACCATGTCAGTTCTTGCTGTTTCCTTGTCCAAGATCATGAGTTTTTTCACCTAAAAAATAATTTCTTTCTGGTTCTCCTTTAGAACTCTGTGTGGGGGGCAGCTAGGTGGCGCAGTGGATAGAGCACCGACCCTGAAGTCAGGAGGACCTGAGTTCAAATTCGGCCTCAGACCACACACTTGACACTTACTAGCTGTGTGACCCTGGGCAAATCACTTATCCCCAATTGCCTTTAAAAAAAAAAAACAAAACTCTGTGTGAATATTTGCCTTGAATGTTTTTCTTACAGTAACTTGATTTTGGATTCTCCTTTCTTTCTTTCTTTCTTTTCTACATTCTGCTATGTGCCTTCATTTTTGAGAAATTCATCTCACTTACATTCAGTGAGATTTGTTAATTTTATATCTCTGTCCATTTTATTTTTTATTTCCTCTTCCTCTCCTGGTCTCCTCTTTACAAGGAAAGTTGCAGATATAAGGAAGGAATTTGATTAACACTAGCAGTCTATTATTGAAGTGGTCTTTTCCTACTCCTTAGACCCCCTTCTCTTTAGCAAGCCCAGTCAGTGATCTCTGGTTCTCTCCCTTTTTCTCTCTCTTTAAGTATCTTTTATGTTCAACCTTCCTAAGTTGAAATTTAAAGTTTGTTTTACTTTTTGTCTTTTACCCTCCTTCTCTTTTTTCTGACTCTCTTTGTATTCCTATTGAGTATAATGTGTTTCTACTCCAGATGCTGTGTGTGTATTTGATCCTCCTTTATCCAATTTTGATAAGAATGAGGTCATGAGATATCTACTCCCCCCATGCCCTCCTTCATATGCTTAATCTTTTCAGTTATACCTCTTTATATGAAATACTAAGTTCTCCTAAATTTCTTCCCCAAATTAGTTTACTACAATATTCCCTTTCCTCTTTCTTTTCTTTCCTCTCTCAAAACCAGCAGAATAGAATAAAATCAGGCCCTAATTCTGTTATTCAATTAGCTCCCTTTCTGGTACTTGAGTTCATTAGGATTCTGAAAAGACACTTGTCTCCCTGTGTAGTAACCTATGAAATGTGTTTCTGTCCCCTACTTTTGTTCTGTCATACCAGGACCAGAATTTGACTTGAGGTACCTGATCATTGGAGCTGTAGCTTCAATGGAGCTGATTCTTGATGTCCCTGTTCTTAAACTTGGCTAGCTTCATGTCCATAGGTAGACTTCTCTCTAATTTTCACCTCCACTAGCTTTCAGTCAAGTTATGAAAGCTAATTTCTCCATATCCTGTGTTTACCTCTAAAGCTTTTGCATTTACTTGAATTGGCACTAGCTTCCCCCATCCAACCCCTGTATCAGTCTCCACCTTTTTCTGACTATATTTTTGTTCTGGACTAGACAGAGTAGCTACTTTCACTTTTCAAATATCTTTATCTTTGGTCTTTCTAGGACCATTTTCAGATATTTTATTGGAGTTTATATTATAAAGGAATACTTTTTTTTTTTGGTCCATGTTACCATCTTAATTGGAAGGCCCAGGACTTTTTCCAGTGGTTACAATGCCTTTAAGTTGAGGGCTTCCTGTACAGTAAAATCTAAACTTCTGTAGCTTGCCTATTTTGTTCCAGATTTTGAGTGAGTCTCAAAGGGACTTATAGAAAGGTTTGAAATGCATTTGGTAGGAAAGTGACAAGCTATCTTAGAAAGTGACAGCTCGTATGTAATGATACTGGCCAGAGAATTAACTAAAGAAGTATTCAGATATTTTTTCAATAAACATAAACATGTTCTTTGTTCTTATTGATCTGAGCAAATGAATTTTCTGTCAGCTAAATAAGTATTTATTGAATCAGCATAGTGTTTAAGGACTTTTTCATGCTGTTGGGACAGTCATCAGAGTTAATTTTCTGAACTAGAGCGAGATGACAGTAGCATTGACCTTTTAAATCTTCTCTCTTGCTTTTAAAAAATTAAATGTGCAAATGTGAATATTGGATAAGTGAACACACATTCTTTTTAATAAGGGTAACTTATACATAACTGTAAATCAAGGTGTAAAAGGCTGTCCTTTCTTTTGACTTTTCAGCACACAACATAGTCTGAAGAGAATTAATATCAATCAGTCATTTGTTAAGTGTGACAGGCTTACTATGTGTGAAGTTGTTTGCCATTTCCTTCTCTACATGAGAAACTGAGGCAGACAGGGTTAAGTGATTTGCTTACGGTCACACAGCCAGAGTGTCTGAGGTAAGATTTGAACTCCTGACTCCAGGCTTGGCACTCTATTCATTGTGCCACCTAGCTGCTCTCATATAGAAGATGGGATTTTAGTTGGGACTTAATAGAAGCCAGGGAAGTCAGTGATGAATATAACCTGCCATCATCATGTCAGTGAAACTATGGTGCATCTCATTCTTTTTTTTTTAATTGAATTTTATTTTAGACTCAAACACCAGAACACAAATACAGAATAGAGAAAAGAAGAAGGAAAAACATATCATAAACTTAAACATTGGAACTTAATTATAAAGTAAGGAAAGAAAAAAAACATGTCATGTGCATAGCAGTACATAGGAGAGGATTCAAAATATGTAATGATAAATTTTCATTTCAAGAAAGCCTATATGATAAATACTACACGTTGTGTTGAGAACTGTCCATCTTTTCTTTGCTTCCTTGTAAGTTTTCTCTTGTTCTATGCTATGCATTTTTTTTAATCTTCTCTCTGCCCCCAAAGGCTACAATTGAGTGTGGATATATTTCTCTATAGCTATAGATATATACATATACATATATACACATATATACTTACATATATAGACATATGCTTTCCCAAACAAATTCTACTCCTAATCTTTGTTTTTATGTTTGTGCATATCTCTTGTTTCCTGTCCCTTCTGACTCCTCTTCTTTACTTCTACCCATTACTTTGCCCTTCTATTACTTAGCCTACCCCCATCTCATTCTTAAATAAAGTTTCTCTGTTCACTGATTTAAAAAAAAAAGTATTTCACTTTCCATTTAGTTAGATTCTAGTTTCCTAGGCACAGATGGTATAATTTCTCCTACATCCTATATTTTCTTACCTTCATATTAAAATAATGAAGATTTCTTCTTAAAAATTATCTCCACAGGAATAGTTGGATTTTAGGCTTCTAAAATCCAACTATATTTAATACAGTTTGCTGTTCTTATTTATCACAAAGGGCTCTTCTTATCCTGTGATTTTTCATTATTATGTTATCTGACTTGATAATTTTAACATACTCTGTATGAAGTTTTTCATCTTTTATAATTTTGCAGGCCAGTTACAGATTATTTGGATCAAAAGTCATTGGAGGGACTTAAACAGATACACCAGCAGGTTTGTTTCCATATTTGTTTATTCTAAGCAATATCTTGGCCTGAATATCCACTTCTTATACAACTATTATATCAGAATAGAAGATATTTCTTGCTTCCAGTTCTGATGAAGTTATTAGCCATCCAAGAGTTGTACTTAATGATGATAACAGCATTACCTTAAAATTATTTTGAACATTCTGAATTCACCCAAATGTTAACAATAATTATACCTAATATTTTATATAGTATTTTGTGGTTTGCAAAATGCTTTACAAATATGATCTCATTTTATCCTAAGAAGAATGCTGAGAGGTAGGTGCTATTGTTAGCTCCATTGTACAGATGAGGAAACAGCAACTAAGTGTCTGAGGCTAGATTTGAATTCAGATTTTCTGTTATCTAGCTGCCTAATAATACAAAAGAAGTAGTTTTGGTGGTGGTGGTGGTGGTGGTGGTGGTGGTGGTGGTTGTAGTAGTAGTGGTAATAGTAGTAGTAGTAGTGTTGATGATGATGAGGGTGATGATTATAGTGAGAAATTAAGTGGAAAGGAGAGGTTAGAGTGTTTGAGAATTTTGAGGAGGGAAGATCAACTTTTAGCATGGAAAATTAGGAAGATCTGCATAAAGGAAGTGATCCTTTCAAGGGAATGGAAGGATTAGGATTTCTACTGGTAACGCTGGGAGTGAGGTAGAAAGGGAGAAGAGCTGGATAAAGAAGATAAGAATAGTGAACGCTAAATAGTTCAGTTTGGCTGGAATATAGAGTGCTTTGGGGTGGGGGACCCTGTTAAATCAAGCTGCAAAGATAGGTGAAAGTTAGATTTGGAAGGATCTTTTCAATGTGAGGCTAAATATTCGAGTTTGAATTTGAGAAAAAATTCTGGGGCACTCTTAGGTGACAAGAGAGGATGGTAATCATATCTATAGAAGTGAGAATAGCAAAATTGAAAGAATTCAGAGGTGTTTTTTTTTTATAATTTTTTAATCCCCCCTAATGAAAGCTTATTTTCTTTATGATATTCCTATTCATTGTTATTACTTGAGTTCAAATTCTGGCTTTATTACTGACAGACTTTGTATCTTAGATTAACCTCTTAATTTTTGTGTCCCTTATTTTAATCATCTACAAATTGTAGATAGTACTAATCGTGTCATATTGATTTATCAGTGGATGAGACATTACGGAACATTTTGGTTTTTTCAGGAAGAAATAGAGCTCTAGAATGATGGGATCACTTACCCAAGTAGTACAGGTAGTGGTACAGAGGTGGGATCTGACTCAGGTTCTCTGACTAGCAATTATCAAGACTATCATGAAGATGAATGCAGTTGTGCATAGTAAGTTCTTTGAAGTCTTAATGGAGTTATCTAATTCAAGGAGAATCATCTTTCTAAAACCAGAAAAACTCCAAAAATTGCTTTAATTTTGAGACCTTTCCATATTAACCTCTACTTTATATTTCCCATTGTGATTCAAAGCAACAAATGTAATTTTATATTTGTTTAAAAACTTAAACATTTTCCATCATTTGTTTTTAGCTTTATGATCGCCAGCTGTACAGGTAAGTGGGACATTAAAACAACAACATTAGTTCTTATTGCTCTTGTGTGCCTTAAAAACAAATTCACATTCTGATTTCTTTATAATTTATTGAGTAAGAGTTTGAACTATTTGTAGTTCTTTAAATTCTTCAATCAGGCATTCAACAGGCATTTATTAAGTATTTTCTTTAGATGCTTGGTTTACAAGTACATAGAATAAAACAACCTTTTCTTGGAAAAAGCTTGCATTCTAATGTTGAAGAGACAACATACATATAGTTTTAAGCTATTTAATAGCTATTAAAGCTTACACCTGTACCAAGACAGAGATTAAGAACAGTATGTGAATAAACATATATAGAATCTACATAGAGTGAAAGTAGTGAAACACATAGTTTGGGAGGGATAGCAGTAGCAGTTGGCAGGGGGTGGGAGTAGGATCAGAAAGTCTTCATGCAGAAGATGTTGCTTGAACTGTGATTTAAAGGAAGAGACACACTCTGATGCAGAGGTAAGGAGGGAGTACAATTCAGGCATGTGAGACGATGGGATTGTGTAGTATGTATGAGAAAAAGAGAAAACCATTATACTTTTTGTGCTCACTTACCTCCCAAATTCAATTTAATCTTACTAAGACAGATTTGAAAAAAGTAGGATTTAAGCAGTAGATAAGTTAAAGTAAACAATTTTCCAAAGAATAATTGTAAATTAATAATAACCATGTAAAGATGCTCCACGTTGCTAATCGTAAGATCAATGCGAATCAAGACAGCTCTGAGGTTTTATATCACACCCAGAAAATTGGCAGAAATAAAAAAGATAACAATAGTCAATGCTAGAGTAGTTGTTTAGCAATGGTAACAATAATTACTGTTGCTGGAGTTCTGAATTTGTCCATCCATTATGGAAAAAACTCCAAATTACACAAATAAAGTGATTAAAATGTCTATATCCTTTGATCCAGAGATTCTACAGTTGGTATATACTCCAAGGAGATCAGTGACAAAAAGAAATGTCTCATTCACAGAAATATTTATAGCAACACTTTTTGTAATAGCAAGGAACTCACTACAAAGTAGATGACTATTGACTCATTAATAATTAGTTGTGGTATATGAATGTCATATAGTGTTACTGTACCATAAGAGTACATGAAAGGGAAGCATGGGAAAACTGATACAAACAAAGTGAATTAAGCAGAACCAGGAAAACAATGACTGTGACAATGGAAATGGAAAGAACAGTAACAAAATTCAAACTGAATGCTGTGAAATTATAAGTAACCAAGTTTGGTCATTTATGATACTTTTTCCATTTTTTTCCATAGCTGAGGCACTATGGGTTTGAAACCCTGCATGTAATGTGTGACTTTTGATATGTTGTTTAGTTTTGCTGAATTATTTTCCCCTATCTTTTTACTATTTATTATAAGGGATAGCTCTCTGAATGTGAAAGAGAAAAGAATGACACATTGGGAAATAGGTGGTATAAAAAGCAAATGTGAATAAAAAAAATTTAAAAAGAATTTACAAAATACTTTTCAGGATAGAGGACAGGAGTAGTGGCCTCCATTCTTTTTGCCTGGCCTTTGAGTGACCATGTAAATCTGATGATGGTACAATACTGGTGCTTATTGTACTAAGTGTAGTCCTGCACCTTTCAGGATTATCTCTTTATGCATCCTTAGTTAGAAATTAAGATCTGCTTTTGCTCTTCACTGAATAAATACTGATTGATTTGGCATGCTTGGCATGGGCATAGTAGAAAGAACACTAATGGAAAAATCAGAGGACACAAATTCTAGTTTTTGAAACTTTAGTTTCCTTGTCCATAAAATGGAGATACCATTTTCTCCAAATAACTCACCAAGTTGTTATAAGGATCAAACAAGATCATATATGTAGAAATTTTTATAAGTAATAAAGCATTATAAAAATGTGAGCTGCTATTGTTATTGCCTTTATTATACCTTAAAACTTAAGCTTTAGGATAGAAGCAATATGTTTTCTATAGTAGGTACACAATTTCAAATGTCTGTTTTTATTCTGCTGGAACAAAGTTCTATTTATTTGGCAATCTAGATGTGATGTAGATTTTTGGTTTAACCTTCCTAGTTAAAGTGTATATACATTGGGCAGATAGGTGGCGCAGTGGATAGAGCACTGGCCCTGAAGTCAGGAGGACCTGAGTTCAAATGTGACCTCCTAAAAAAAAAAAGTGTATATACATTAGTTAGAAGACAAACTATCATTGGAAATTTTGTCATAAGTGTTTATCCTGACAATTTAAGCACCCAGAAGCACCATGTCTTGTTATTTGGTCATATTCTATAGATTGTTGAGGATTTTCTCAATCAGAAAGGAGTTGGCCCCTGGGAATATTTCACTCACAATGAGTCTGTAAGACTGCTGGACAAATGAAATGAGTAGCCTGACTGAAACGAAAAGGAGTTTATTAGCATACTAAGGGAGTCTGGTCCTTAGCTTTTTTTTTTCTTTTCCGTGAAATGCAACTCATATATTCTGGTATTATGTACCAACTGTTAAGTACCTTCATGTTAGATAAATCTTCTAAATTTGGATCACTACTGAATAGTTTCTTTGATCTCTAATGTTTTATACACTCTTACAGTTTGGGAGAAAAAAAGATAATAAATAACTTAAGCAAATCTATAAATATGGGTAACCTTTCTGTAACAAAGTGTCTTCAAATCTCAGTATAGTAATTAACCACGGGTTAAGAGTAACACAGAAAACAAGCTAACTATTTGTTTTGGCGTAGCTTTCCCAGCAAGCAATCTGCAGAACAAGCTGAACTTGTTTAGTGATGAGTCATCTTATACTTGTGATGTGTATAGTTTTCATTTCAGTGCTAGCTTTTTGATGTAATAACACTAGTGAGATCCAGTTGTAATATAGGAAACCAAACTGTGTACTGTTTTTTTTTCTTCCAATTTAGCTTTATATTACTGTCCTAGAATTAACAAAAAAAAAAAAACAAACTGATTCTGGACAGCTGGCACAGAAATGTAAGTTCATATGTAGGTTGAAGATGTATTTGGATACTTATAGAAAGCTTTGTCTTCCCTGAAAGTAGTAGTGATATTAAGCCCATGAGAGTTATTTGTATTTCTTCTATACTTGTTACTTATCTCCCAGGAAAGCTTGTTATTATAAATTGTCTAGAAACCTCAAATTCATATGCTTTTTAATGATACAAGAAAACTAGTTTGTCCCAGTAGCATCTTAGCACATACAGTAGTGAGTATGGCCCACTCACTCTTACACAATAATCATAAGCAGAGGCTTATAATAATCATTAAACTAGAACTGAAGAGTTACAATAGCAATTAGAAACCAAAATTCATAACTTCCTGTATGAGATCTTTCTGTTATCATATGTCCCTTCTAATAGCTGATTTCTATGCACAAGTGCTACCTCCATGTTTTCTCAATGCCATTTTATTTATTAATTTCTTCTCCAAGACATATACTGATACTTTGTTGTTTAGGGCGGAAGTGGTAGCATATTTTGGTTTACTGTGCAGGTGGGATGAATGATAAAGATTAGGAGCAGAAAAGCTAAAGTTCTTCCCCTACAATATTCATCAAATGAAAATAAGGGAAATTGTAGCTTTATTATGCTAAACCAGAGACTTTATCCCCAGAAGTGTAAAAGATGTAAAATTTTATGGTTTTAGGGTCTCCATGTGTATCAATCTTCAAAAGAGTATTAATTCTCAGCAGTAGTAATATTTCTCTTGAAAACAACTGCTCGATTTCTGAAGTACAGTGAGAGATTCTCTGATTAGGTTCAATATTCTGTGCACACAAAATTTGCTATTATAGCCCTACTTTGATGCTATTAGAGTCTAAGGGAATTTTGTTGTCTTTTTGACAGTTACTAGCTCATCACGCAAAGGGCAGTACTTGAATATTTCTTTGTTTGATTAAGGCAACAAATTTAAATGATGTTACTTACTATAGCTTTTTGTTGTCAGTCACTTGTGTCTGACTTTTTGTGATCCCCATGGACCATACTATCTATGGAGTTTTCTTGGCAAAGATACTGGAGTGGTTTGCCATTTCTTTCTCCTGTGGATTAAAAGTTAAGTGACTTGTTTAAGGTCAGATTTGAATGCAGGTCTTCCTGATTCCAAGCAGGTACTCTATCCACTGAGCCATCTAGCTGCCTTCATTATTATAGCTACCAGATTGGAAAACCAATATCATCTACTCAGAATGCTTCCTTTTGAATAGAACCACTAAAATCCTATAATTATCAATTCTTTTGCAGATATAGTGCTCTAGTTAAAAACATAAAACAAAGATTATGTCATAAGTATTCTGACAGCTTAGAAGGAAATTTTTTTCTAGTAATATTACTTGAAGTCAAACGAAAGTTAACCAGTTTAATTGGAGAATACAACCTGTACAGAAGAAGTTCTGAATGCTTTTCATGATGGCATGTGTAGCAGAGTGGGAAATCAGAGTAATGTTTTCTGTTCTGTTTTGGGAGGAGGAAGATGTGAAAAATGAACCCCTGGTTTGGGCATAGGGATTAAATAGCCAGACTTATTGTTGACATTATACTGAAAGAGCTTAAATTACCATCAACCCAAGACTAATATAAAAGTTGAATACTGCATGTCAGCAGAAGCTCTTAGCATTCTGGAAAGCTTCCAAATCAAATAGCTTTTGACACTTGAGTAAATGTTCAGCTTTATTGCTTGTGATGGGACAGTCCCAAATTCAAGTACAGCACTGAAACTCTCTTACTTCATACTTTTCTTCCAGATAAAGGTGAAGTTTTCTTCTTGTAAATACTGTGAGTTGTTTTAGTTTGTAGAAGGAGAAATATAAGATATTCTTTTTCATATTGTGGTAAGTAGTACAAATTTTTTTTAAAAGAATAGGTATGCTTTTAAAAAAAAAGTATAAATAGGTGAAAAGAAGCAGGTTTTTGAAATAGTGATGTAACCGTCAGAGTGGAGATTGATTATGATCTTAACTTTGAAAAA